ATCATTGAGTCACAAGATATCACGATTCGTCACAGTACCTACTTCGTCATAATTAGAGATGTTAATTAGTCCCTCAGCAATTATCAGTTAACTTTGAGCAAAATTTATAAAGAATTAGCATTTTTAACTACTATTCGTCTAGTAAGCAAAGTTATAGAAAAATTATTTTTCTATAATAGATCCTTATCTTTATTTGTTTTGAGCTATTTAGATGGAACCGGTTAAGAACCGATCAGCTAAATTTGCTTCACAATATTCGGTCCCCTGATCCACCTTATCGTTATACATGTTGGCAAAACTATTGGGATTTGGGATTTGGAATTTGAGATTGGGATTTGGGATGAATTTTACTATGTTTGGGATTTGGGATTTTGAGGATTTATAGTTTTGAGGATTTGAGGATTTATAGTTTTGCCAACATGTATACTTATCGTTATGGGTTACGGTTATTTCGAAAATTATATATAGTTACGGAACATTTTTTGAAACAATTCTTTTAAATTTTCACCCCTTCTCTCTTCCAGAGAGATAAGGAAGTAATCGTATCTCGTACTGATAAAAGAAATACACACTATTCTTGGTTCGTACTACCCGGCAAAACCGAATATTAAGCTAATTCTTATCGTTATAGTATCGTTATCTCCTGATTAGAAAAGAAAGTTTTCGATCCATCAGAATTGACTCAAATTCGTGTGAACATAGACCTTTTTGACATCTCGTGTAACTATTTTCTTACTTTAAGTTAAAAACAAAATCAAATAATCGGGAGTTAGGTTAGCGTTAGTCTTACATATATCGATATATCTTTGTCATATCTGATATGCATCGTAGTTAAAATTTTTTGGAATGATTGTTAACAATTTAAAGATAGTCTGCTACACCATAACATAATCAATTAGCCTAATGCTAAAGTCTTTTAATAACGATAATATGACAAAAAAAAGTATTGTATGCATCTTTTAGCTAACAATGTCCATGTACTACATAGATATGTACTACATAGATTTATCTTGATATCTGTGAGAGTTGGCAAATATTTTGAAAATCTTCGCGAAAGGATAGTCTGTTAACAAATTGAGACGTTACATAAAGATAATTTTGAGCTATTCGCTTCGTGTAACTGCAAATGTCAATTCTATTTTAATTCATATCATATTTTCATGAAGCAGTTCAGTGGATCCTAAAATGACAGATTCACTGCGTACTTTAACAACGCCAATTGACTATGGTATGCCGCGTGTTGTTTTTTCGATAAAAGTCTTACAATCTAACGCGTTTCGTTGAATTTTAAGATCAATATGACACCGATGAGGAGGCGCCGTTCACTGAAGAAACCCCACTTGCGGCGACTTCAAGAGATATAGACGAAGATGATATCTTACCTTGTATGTTTATGATTTGTTGGTCTACTCATGAAGGAACGAAGGAACTATAGAAAAAAATAAAATAAAATAAAATAAAAAAAATCAAAATTTTAATTTTTTTTTCTTCTTTATATTTCATTGTAGTTCCTTCGACAACTAATAATAAGGGTAGCTCTTGGGTTACTTTCAAAACCCGGCTTAGATATTATGTTCCGGTCTTCAGTTGGCTGCCAACTTATTCATTTCAAACCTTTTGGGGTGACTTTGTTGCCTCGTTGACTGTCACAGCCATTTTACTGCCTTCGGGTTTATCTTATTCTGTATTGGCAAAATTACCAGCTGTTCACGGTTTATATAGCATTGTAATACCTGGAATAGTTTATTCTTTTCTTGGAACTTCTAGGTAAATTTCTGTAATTCATATTTTCATTATGATTTCTCTGGTGAATTAATCATGCTTGTGAATTTTTCTAGGCAATTAGTTATTGGTCCTGAAGCTCTGGTATCTATGCTTGTCGGTTCTTCAATAGTACAACAACAAGAATATTTAGATTCAAATGATCCTGGAACAGCCATTGTAATTGCTGGATTAATTACATTTTTTGTGGGCATCTTGACGCTAATAATCGGCATATTTAGACTGGGTTTTATCGATTCTTTATTATCTCGTGCTCTTTTAAGAGGATTTATCTCGGCTGTAGCAATCGTGATCATAATTGAACAATGTTTAACAATGACTATGTTAACGGAACAGGCGACTAGAGCTGGTGTTGGTCATGCCTCATCGACCGTAGAAAAACTCATTTATATAGTCACTCATTTTGGTGATGCCCATAAACTTACAACTATAGTTTCATTTTCTAGTTTTAGTTTTCTTTTGATATGTGGTTTTCTCAAATCAAAGTATCAAAAGCGATATTCTTGGGTCCAATTTTTTCCTGAAATTTTAATATGCGTGATTATTTTTACTGTATTTTGTGCTATTTTCAAATGGGATGAAGATGGTGTCCATATACTTGGACATATTCAGGGTGGTGGATTTCCTTCTTTCCAAATTCCTAAACCACCACCTAAACTACATATACTGGATTGTTTTGAAACCGCCGTTTTGATTTCAATTGTTGGGTTTGTAGAATCTATCGTGGTTACCAAAACCTATGCGACAAAATATAATTATTCTGTCAGCGCAAATCGTGAATTGGTAGCTTTAGGTTCTGCTAATTTAATATGCAGCTTTTTCCAAGGTTTTCCTGCATATGGTGGTATGGCGAGGAGTAGCATAAATGATAGAGCTGGTGCTAAGACACAACTTGCTGGATTAATAACCTGCATGTTTGTACTCATTTGTTTGTTTTTCCTCCTTCCTTTATTCTATTATCTGCCAAAGCCTGTTCTGGCGGCAATTATTAGTGTTGCAGCGTTAACTTTAATGCATGAACTTCCTGATGACTTGCATTTCATGTACAAGATCAAAGCATGGAATGATTTTGGATTACTATTTTTGACTTTCTTTATCACAATTTTTGTCTCAATCGAATATGGCACATTGATATCAGTTGCGTTGTCCTTGGTGCTTGTGATCAAACATACTACTTATCCACGTATCTCCATATTGGTAATTTGTTAATTTAAAGGTTCTTGTAGATTCAAATGATTGTTCAAAATTTCATTATCTTATTTATTTTATTTTTTTTTAAAGCAGCAAATAATATGAAATTAGTTAATGTGTAGATGAATAAGCCTAGATTTAAACTAAAGAAATAAAA